GTGTGGAAGTAAAGAGGGGATAAAATGACAACATGGCTGAAAGCCTGAGTTATGGGAGGGATCATCTCATCATTGTGCAGAATGGAGAAGGATAAACATCTAATAATTATTTTGGTGGGATTTTCAAAAGGGTTTGGCATTGGCCTATTTGCCCCCTCTGAAATCAGCATCAGTTTTATGACTGACTTCAGTGATAGCCGTATCAGGGCAATGCTGAGTGCCTGCAAAGCTCCTATCCTTTATATTTGAGCTTTGTATAGCAGTAAAGTGGTGTCTTATGATGAGGCATGTGTGAGTAACTGCTGTGAGATAATTAATACTTGTTTTTTATTTCACCATTTTTTTTACTTCATTTTCTTAATGCTGAGTGAAGTGATCCTCCAAGAAAAATTAGTAACCATCATGATACTAAAGCAACTTTTTTCCACTGTTTATCAGTTGTGAGCATGAGGAGAGGCATAGCTTTAACATCACATTAACAGTATTTGGCTCAGTTACATACTGTAAGTGTTATCTGTAAAAGTTTTATGCTTTGGTCTTGATAATTCAAGCTTGAATAACAGAACAACAGAACAACTTGTGTGTCTAAAACATTGTTTATCCTCTTAAGTACTTCAGCTAAGCATGACAATGACTCATTCAAGCATACTATATTAGTCAAGTAAATTCAAGGAATAGTGTGTATAAAAGCAAGTCATAGACTAGAAGTAAACAGTTTTTGTTTTTTTTGTTTTGTTTTTTGCCATATGGATATATTTTAAGTAAGAAAATGTACGTACTGGTGCCTAGTCAAATAATTAGTTCTCTGTGTTTAATTTTAAGCAAAAGACACATTGTAGTTTTTGTTCAAGAGTGTTGCCATCTATTTATCACTGTCCTAATGATTCAGTTTCTCTTTTTCCATATGGATTGTTTTGTCCGCCCACACAGTTGATACATGGCTCCTTTTGTAATAAGAACCTTTTAGTTTTCATATTATAAATGTTTCCATTTGTTAATTTTCCAGGTTTTGCTTCTTTACAGATGTTTGTTATCCTGCTGTGTATGTAACTAAATTCATAAGTCAGTTTTACTGGTCCACATACAATACAGTTGATTAGAATTTTAGAGACTCTGTGTAATGAGTTCACTCTTCTTATCATTGATCATATATATTTGTAAATTAACTTTACCAGTCAAAACTAATACATTGAAATATTTCATCCACTCTCTGCCTCAGACAAATCCCTTCACTCTACCCCTTAGCTTGCAGCCCATTCCCCAAACCAGCTGCCTAACTGTTTTGCTGCAGCTCTGTATTTGAACTCCCACCCTTCCCTCTGTAAAAACTTTCTCATCCCCAGTCCCATCCTCAAGTCCAAATCTCAGAAACCAGTCATGAACGCAGTCATGCTACCCCAACTAGTGGCATACCTTTCTCCCAGTTGATGAGCATTCAGGTCATAGTTTAGGCATGCTTACAAGGTAGGGAATTGTATTGTGGAAATCAGTGACTTTCTTAAAAGGACTTGGATGTCATGATGGATAATCAGATGAACATGAGTTCCCACTGCACTGCCGAGGCCAAAAGTGCTAATGCAGTTCTTGGATTAGTGAACAGGAGAATATTAGGAAGGAGTTGGCAGATTATATTACATCTGAATTTGGCATTACTAGAATATTGTGTCCGGTTTGGGTGTCCACCCAAGAATGTTATGTTAAGAGTTCAGAGGAGAGCTATGAGAGAGATTGAAGGGTGAGAAACACCAAGGGCTCAATCTTCTTACCTTAATCAAGAAAATGTTAACTGTGACATCATCAGAGTTAATAAATAACTATGTGGGGAACAAATTTCATAATAAAGGAGGTATTGAATGAAAAGTTATAACAAGATCCAATGTATGAAAATTGAAATTAGATAATACATTCACACTAAAAGAAAGTAGAGATGTAAAATCCTGTTTAATTGGTCAGTCAGTTAAATGTGATAGTTGACAGATACAGGAGAGACGGGGGAGGGAGGGTTTGGAGCCGTCCCCCCCTCCCACAGCTGGAGAAGCTCCTGCCTGTGATTGTGCCCATGCCTGCTGCAGACAGAGGCTGCTCTGAATGGTTTGGAGAGCCCCTGCCTGTGGTAGATAGGGAGCTGCTCCAGCCCCCACTGGTTAACTGGAACCGGTAAACCTTTCAGATCTCCTAGAAGAAAGGCATACATTTTTAACAGAGTAA